GCTCTCTCTCATTCTCTCTCTCTCAAATAAATAAATAAAATCTTTAAAAAAAAAAAAAAAGAATTTTTGGGTCAAAAGTTTGCCCATTTTTAAGGCTTTTAACAAAGAGCTCAGTTGTTTTAAGAAGGTTTTACCCATATAAATGCCCAGAAGTCAAGTGTGCAGGGAGCAGTCACTTATATGTGCCCCGAGGTCTCTGTTTCCCAAGTTCCTTACACAGTGCCTGGCAAACAGTAGATGCTGTGGAAATGTTTGTAGAACTGAACCCACCTCTACGGACTTCAGTTTTCTCCTCTGTAAAATGGGCTAGTCCTCTAGCCTCTGTGAGCCTCATCTTCTGTGTCCATCAAAAGGAGTTAAGATCAACTACTTCCCAGGGGCAGTGTGAGGGTTAAAGGAAACTGTGTGGGTGTGGAGGGATACGTATATTATTAAGGGAGTGGCTCAGGGGTGTGGTCTCTGGGTCCAGAGTTCTTAAATTTCTGGATTCATGATCCTGGTTCCACCATTTATCAGTTGTGTGTCTTTGGGCGTTGTTACTTTAACTCTGTGCCTCAGTTTCTTCATTTGTGAGATGGTGATAAAAAGGCCCACAGGGCAGTGGGGAGGATTAAGAGGGTGTTGACCCCAAGTAAGGCACCGAGAGTGAGTGTTCAGGAAAGCTAGCTACCATTGTACCAACCAGTCCATAAGAGTGTTACTACTAAAATTATCGAGGGGCACCTGGGTGGCTCAGTCGTTGGGTGTCTGCCTTCGGCTCAGGTCATGATCCCAGCGTCCTGGGATCGAGTCCCACGTCAGGCTCCTTGCTCATCAGGGAGCCTGCTTCTCCCTCTGCCTGCCACTTCCCCTGCTTTTGCTCTCTCTCCCTCTCACTCTCAGACAGATAGATAAATAAAATGTTAAAAAAAATAAGTTAAAATAGAACTTCTCAAATATAGTTCATAAAGTCCCAGGACCTATAGTAACAGTTTTGAGGGTTTTCCCCCAAAAGCATGATTAGCCCTGCATTGAAAAATAAATCAGTCACCCATGGCAAGGTTTTTTACAGAGCAAATAAATTGATTTCACTCAGGAACTGTTGTGTCAAAAAAATTTTTGCCAGCTGATCCCATGTTGACATGAATGTATGGTTTTTTTGGGAAAAAAAATGAAAGAGATTCAAAAAATACCCTTTTACTCCTTTTTTGGTTTCCTATTGCTTCTGCGTATTAGTTAGCTCATAACCAGGCATTTATAGAGCTCCTCTGTATGCAAGTCTTTGTGATCAGAACTACGGGAAGCCACAGCCCCAGCCTTTAAGGAGCTTATGCTCTGATTGGTTGGAATTGGTCTTTTTGCAAGAAAGCTTGTACTTGGTGGAGGGTTTTCAGAAGGCTCTCTTGCTCTGGTATATTCTGGTATTCTGGTATATTTAGACTGACACAAGCACAGATTATTCCAGTATTATTTCACATCAGCAAAAAACGACAATTTATTGGACCCTCTAAACTGAAAGTCCAGAGGTAAAGTCTTGTTTAGGCTTCACTAGATCCAGGACAAAGATCCTGTTGTCAAGGCCTCGACTCATCTTGTGGTGGGCAAGATGGCTGCAGGCATCCCGAGACTGCTGACATCCTAGCTTAGCAACCCCAGAGGAGTGAGGATCTGAGAGTGTGGTTGTTAGAAAGCTCCTGGGGAAGATTCTCATGGGCTCAGCCTGGAATACATTTCTGTCTCTGACCCAGTCACTAGACACAAGGTGCTGGAGCACTCTGGTCAGACCGGGTCCCATGACTGATGGACCAGCCTGTATGACAATGTAAGCAGGGGTCAGTCCCACCATGTCTCATCTCCTGTTATCAGAAGAAGGAGAAAGGGAGAAGTGAGAGGTGGTCATCATGGCTGGTTTCTTTCTAGCAGGGCAGATGGGCCAAGAAGGACCAGGCTAAGGAGAACTAGGTCTGCCCGCAAGTGGGAACGAGGGCCAGGGATGCAGATTCCTGCACAGACGGTGGGAAAGTACATTGGACAGGCAGGTGGTGTCCTGCCAGAGGGCACACCCTCCTTTGTACCTTCTTTGTGGCCTGGACTCATTGCCCTTACAGCATTGCAATGGCTTCTTTCATCTGTGTGCCTGCGTCTCATGCTAGGCCTACAGAAGCAGACCACAAAAAGGCACAAGGGCCATCTTTGGAGTCGGACCAGCCAAAAGCTGAATCCTGGCTCTGCCACTTCCTAGTTGTGCAACCTGGGGCAAGTCGCTCCACCCTTCTGATCCTCCAGCCCTCGTCTGTCAAGTGGGCATAATAATAGTACCTACCTTCAAGGTTTCATTAGATAATATATGGGAAGTGACCTTGGACAGTATTCAGCAAATGGAAATTACTTCATAAATGCTAGCTGCAGTTGATAAAGCAGGGACCATGTCTCATTCAGCTTTGGGTCTTTAGTACCTAGTTGAGGCTGGTATCCAGTAAGTATTCAGTAAGTGCTTGTGTAGATAGAATTGAAGCCAGGTGAGGAGTTGGCCACACAGGTACAAGAGGAGGTAGTGCAGGCAGGAGGATGGATACGGGGTGGCGGGGGGGCTCTGAGAATCCGCAGCAGGCAATGGTGTCGGGGTCCATGGGGGAGCCAGGGGGCTGGGTCTCGGGAGCCAGACTCTTCAGTGGCTCTCAAGCGTCAGGATAGGAGCAGGGCACTTGGTAAAAAGGCACTCTCCCAGGGTCCGTCTTAGCAGGTCTGGGATCACCATCCTTGACAGGTGCCAGGGGATTCAGAGGGCCACCCCCTGAGAGACCCCACTGGTTTCTGGGTCACAAACTCAGATGCCTCCATGGGCCAGATGGGTGACGTGGACGGGTGAAGGAAGATGCTGGGCACCGCGGCCAACCAGAGAGCACAAGCCTCATCTAGAGGGGAGCCATACTCCCAAGTGGGGACTTGGTATTGCCAGGTCTCCTAGTTTTTTCAAGAGAGGCTGAAAATCAAGACTTATAAAGGGAATTTCCTGATTTTTAGATGCTGAGAGACAAGTCAGATTTTTGAAAACACCGAAAGGCCAAATAAAACATGTCTGTAGGCCAGAGAAGAGCTACCACTCGGAGTCCTCGGTCTAGGGCCATGGTTCTCAGCCAGGGCGGTTTTGCACCCCAGGGAAAACTGGGCTGCGTCTGAGATCGGTTTCCTTGTCCCAGCTTGGGGTGGGGGTGGGGAATGCTACTGGCATCTAGTGGTTAGAGGCACGGGATGCTGCTAACCCCCCTCAGTGCGCTTGCCGCCGCTCCCACCTCAAAGAGTTATATGGCCAGAAAGGAAGTTGAACTGGCATGAGTTGTGGGCAGAAGAAAAAGGAAGGGCCGGAGACACCTGCCACCTGATTTTTACAGACTTATTTTGGTCAGAGAGACAGGGCTCTGCCCTTCAACCCCGAGGAGCCCCAGCTGCCGTGGCTGGGCCCTTGCTGGTCAGGTAGAATTGTTTTCTACAGTGTGCACACTTCCTGTAGAAAAGCAGCCTGCCACCCCCAACCTCTACAGGCATGAAAGTCATGCTAGAAATTCGGACAAATGAGTGCTAATACATTGCCACTTGGGTCCCCAAGGGCTGGGTGTAATGGTCTTTTAGACATTATCAGGGTTTTGGCCCCCTGTTCCTGGTGGAATGTTTGGTTTGGGTTCATCATTCATTCAGTCATTTCTGGAAGTGTAGTTGAGAATATTTCCATTCCCAACCATAACAAAATAAAATGTCTCTGAGTTCTGTGCAGTTCAGTAATGATTTGCTGAGGGCTTGCTCTGTGGCCAGCTCAGCGCTTGGTGCTGCGGGGCAGATGAGCAGAGACTTGGGCGGGTTCCATCTGGAGGCTTAACCATCCTGCGGAGAAAACACAAGAACCAGACCTGCAGCCCTTCCCCTGCAGTCCACCCTCTGCACACCAGTGTCTTCATCTGCCTCAAGCACTGTTCTGGTCACCATTCTCTCCCACTCAGAAACCTTCTATGGCTCCCAGTTCTACTCCAAATGAAGCCTGCACTCCATTAGCCTTGGTGATCTGACCGAGCCTCCATTTCAAGCTTACTTTCTGCTCTTCTGTTGTTGTGCGAGTCTCTTTGCAAACCAAACTTTGCCCTAGGCTCAGTCTCCTGCCCTTTCTTAGGCTGTGCCCCCCCTCCCCCACCTACCATGCCATTTCTGGCCATTCACGCAAAGTGAGACGGCCCTGGTGGTACTCCCCCCATCCTCTTCATCACTTCATCCCACATCACTTCATCTTTCACCCTCTGTAGCTCTGTGGGCCTCCTACCTTATTTATGTTCTTGACCCTTGACCTACCAAACTGGGAGATTCTCAAGGGGAAAAGCTGATTAAAAATTCAACTTTATGTTCCTTTCCTGGGCAACCTGCTAGTCTTGTCTCTGGCATCTGGTGGGTGTCCACTCAGCCTGCTGCTAGCTCTTCATCTGTGCCTGGCCTGGTGCCGGGTGCTCCCATAAGTGTCATCTCTCTGTATCCTCACAGGGACTCTGTGACACTCGTGACATCATCCTACTAAGGCTAGAGGAACTTTCACTTCATTCATAGACTCATTCAACAGACGTGTTTAATGAGCGCACCCACCATGCCACAGGCTCTGTGGTGTTACAGGGACATGGGAGTGGGAAACCCAGGAAGCAGACTCTGAGACGGCTGAAGTTGGCATCTAGCAGAATGGCAAGGGAGCATTCTTGGGGTCCACACTTTGGGAGGGCAGGGGAGGGAGCGGGGAGAAGTCAAGCCATGTTGCAGGCAGCCTGCTAGACATCTTGGGCAGCTCTATGAACAGGTCTAAAGATGGAGCAGCTCTTCAGAGCTGTCCCAGTTGAGAGGGGAGAGGCAGACCTCTATGCCCCCCTCTCCCCACATTTGTCTTCAGACAGAACCTGTCAGTCGTTGGAAGGGATGTCACCTTGTCTACCGAGGCCACCCCTGAAGGCTACTCTTGGCTGGGGGCAGTCTGCTGCTAGCCCTCCCAGCAGCTGGGATATCTGAGCATCTGCCATCAGAGAGAATATCTCTTAGTGCTCATGGGGACTTCATTCAAGGGGGGAAAACAAATGATCAATGAATTAACATGTAAACAAGCAAGGTCATTACACTTCCCTTAATAAGTTCAAAGAAGGACAGAAACAGGTGCTCATTTTATACACAGGGAAGCTGAGATGTCCAGAGGTTTAATGGCTTAAAGCTCCATCTCCAATCCTGGTCTCTGGCTCCAAAATTCAGCCCCTCTCTACTGTATAACCAGGCCTGTGCTAATCACCTAGAACCTCAAAAGTCAAGCTAAAGAGCTGGTCGTGATCTTGTAGGGATTGAGGAGGCTCTGGAGGGAATGAAATACAAAATGACACTGGCAAAGGCATGCAGAACTGGGGACTAGAGTTAGAGACTTAGTTAAGGCACAGCTTTAGAAGTCTGGGTCCTGCAATGATGATGTGTTCTGGGACTGGTGGTCACAGATGCTTAGGATGATTTTGGCTGCGGGTAAAAGAAAACTGTAGCTTCAAGTGGCTTAACCAGCAAAACCACAGAAGTGGAAGTTGCCTGGGGTCAGGCTCTGGGTTCAGTTGAACCAGTTTCTCAGCAGCTCATGAAGGAGCCAGATTTCTTTTGCTCTGCTACCCAAGGTTACTTCCTCTTCTGGTCCTAAGGTGCCTGCTGGTCACAACTGGAGTCCTCAGTAGAAAAGCTAAAACCTTCGCTCAACCATCTAAGTCCTTCTCTTCCATCCAGTTAAGTCACATGCTCAGCCCTGGACTAATAGTTCATACCAGAATAATCTACCGTCTCGAGTTGGGATGGGGTCAGCTTCCCTGGAAGCTGAGTGGGAGGAATCAATACAGCTGGAGGAATCAATAAAGAGCCAAATTCATGGCTCTCTTAGGAAGCAGAAAGAGTGCTGGGGATAGATATTGGGGAGAGAGTCAGCCTTACCTGCTACCTGACTCTCTGGAGAGAGTCAGCGGACAAGATTGAGCAGTTTGAGGGCAGGACATGGCGACAGATTGGATTGAAGGGGAAAGACCAACATTTTTTTTTTCAGAAACAACTCCAAGGTTTCCCATTGCCATGCTTGGGATAGTATTATCTCATTGACCAAACTCAAGGGGATGAGGGAAATTTCAGATCTGATTTTGGGTAATTTGAGTTTGATGTGATGAGGACACATTCAAACTGTATTGTTTTGCAACAGCCAGAGCTATAGGTCTTTGAGCTGGGGCTCCAAGTACTGCAGGACAGAGCCCAGGAGAGGACTGCCGAAGTGGTGACATGGCTGCAGGTCACTGAGAAGTGGAAGCTAGAGTCAGAAGTGTGTGGGGAGCCGGCTGGGGCAGGGGCTGAGAAGGCAAGGCTGGTGGGAGTTTGAGAGGCAGGGCTTTCCTGGCAGAGCTGCTTATAGGAATTTATCGGACAAGGGTCTCTGCTTATGTGCACAGTGACAGGTTAGAAGGATGTTCACCCCCTCATTGTCTGAAATGTTAAGAGACTGGAGACAACCTAAATGTCCATTGCTATGGAGCTGTTTAATTAATTATGACACATCGGGTATGTGGAACTTCAGGCAGCTGTTAAAAAAGGAGGATGCAGGACCTCTGTGACTGCAAAGGAGGAATCTCAAACATATGGTTAGGTGGGAAAAAGCAAGATGAAAAGATGGGTATAGAATACTTCCATTTGTGTTAAAAAAAAAAGAATATATGCTATCCAAATGTGTGTTTGTGTATTCATAGACTGTTTCTGGAAGGTATCAAAAGAAACTTCTAATAGCAGTTGCTTCTGGGTGAGGTTCTGGGAGCTTGGAAGACTTATTTTTACTTTTTACCTTGCTGGCTGTTAGAGTTTCTTTAACCATGTGCATTTATTACCTATCAAAAAATGTTAGATCATAAAAATAAATACATAAGAAACTGGGTCTTGAGTGTCAGAGAGCTTAGTGAGGCTTAGGACTGAGAGGAGACCACTGGAGGGTGTCAGAGAGTCCAGAGTCCAGTCAGAGAGGCAAAAGTCAGGGAGAGGGGCCACAGGGGAAACTGAGGCACAGGCTGTCCACTTCCTTGTGAGAATCGGGAATAGAATGAGGTGGGCGTAGCTGGTTGGGTTCATTGAGCATCACTGCAGATGCATGGGATGCAACTAAAGGTCCCCCTGGGAGCTCTGCACAGGAGGTTCTGCTCAGGCTCTGCCGTGGTTTGGGGTTGGGTCCCCTATCTTTAGCCACCAGAGCTGCAGGGAGGTCTAAGCAGGTCTCTGGACTGCCCAGTGCTTTGGCTATCTTTTAAGAGACCTTCAGATGGGTGTTTTCTGGCAATTGAAGTACCAGAAGCTGAGAGAAAGGCTATGAGGTAGGAAAAGGAGCCTAGGAAGGTATCATGTCTGGTCCTGAGCCTCCATCTGCTACTGCTGAGTCCGGGGTTCCTGACCTCTGTGGGGGAGGGAGGAAGGCTGGTCTCTGCCCATCAGCCGCTGGTCATGCTTGAGCTGAGGGAGCTGCAAGGGGGAGCAGGATGACTTGACTCTCAGGGAGTGGAGATCAGGGCTCCTGTTTTCTTTTTCTTTCCTTCCTTCTTTTCTTTCTTTTCTTTTTCTCTTTCTTTCTTTTCTTTTCCTTCCTTCCTTTTCTTTTTCTTTCTTAATTCAAGTATAATTAACGTACAGTGTTATATTAGTTTCAGGTGTACAAAATAATGATTCAACAATTCTGTACATTAGTGTTCATCATGATAAGTGTATTCTTGATTCCCTTCACCTATTTCACTCATCCCCACTGGCCCCCCGCCCCCGGCAACAACCAGTTTGTTCTCTGTATTTAAGAACCTGTTTTTGGGGGGTTGTCTCTTTTTTTTTCTTTGTTTTCTTGTTTTGTTTCTTAAATTCCACATATGAGTGAAATCATGTGGTATTTGTCTTGCTCTGATTGATATTTCATTTAGCATTATACCCTCTAGGCCCATCCATGTTGTTGCAAATGGCAAGATTTCATTCTTCTTGACGGCTGAGTAATATTCCATTTTATGTATACACAACATCTTCATCCATTCATCTATCAGTGGGCATGTGGGCTGCTTCCATATCTTGGCTATTGTAAATAATGTTGCAATAAACATAGGGGTGCTTATATCTTTTAGAATTAGTGGTTTCATTTTCTTTGGGTAAATACTCAGTAGTGGAATTACTGAATCATGTGGTAATTTTATTTTTAATTTCTTAAGGAACCTCCATACTGCTTTCCACAGTGGCTGCACCAGTTGGCATTCCCACCAACAGTGCACAAAGGTCCCATTTCCTCCACATCCTTGCCAAGACACGTTATCTCTTGTGTTTTTGATTTCCAAGGCTCCCATTTTCAACATGGAAATCTTCACCTGAGAGTCCAGACAAACAGGAAGAGTATTAACCAAAATAATAATAATAATAGTAATAAGAAGAAGAAACCTTGAGTAACAGAGAATCCTAGACTCTTCAGGCTGGGTGGGACCTGGAGATAATTTGTTCATTGTTTTCTGAATTGTCTCTCTCAATATACTAAATGTGTAAGTCACCTCAAGATCATCTAAACTGTATACTACAGCTCTCCTTAAAAAGCCCATGTACATGAGAGTATGAAAGCCTCTGAAAAGTCCTGTTGTAAGAAAACCTGTCTCCCTTGGTCCAACTAGCTTTTCCCAAACGCATTTGCTTACAGAAGCCTCTGCCCCCTTTTTTTAGTGTAGCAGTCAGTAGTGACCCCCAGACCAAGCTTTGGGAGGTGATGCTTTAGTTTAAGCTTCTTCTTTTGTAGATGTGGTAAGTAAGGCTCCAAGGCCACATGGCCAGTCAGTGATGCAGAGGAGGCAACAACGTTGATCTCCTGCCTTGTGTTCTGTAGGCTGTTAACCTCTATAGTTCATGATGAATTGAGATGCTAGATCATTATTTCTCAAACTGTGTTCTATGGAACCCCGCTCTCATGAGGTGCTAGTGAATATTGAGCTAGGGACACATCAGCTTAGGACCCACCCACAGAATAAAGAAAGATGAACAGATTGATTGGTTGTGGGCTTCTCAGAATCATTAACTTGGTGATGTCTCTGCAAATCACCAAGGCAGGGAGGTATAAGTTTCCCCAACTTATTTGGCCAGGGAATTCCTTTTGCAAGGGACCTCTCCCTGTGGATTTGTTTCATGTCTAGAGTTGAGTTGAGTAATTCAAGTCTAGATCAATAAGGTTTATATTGGTTTCTGTACCTATTCCCACCCCATCCCAAGAATTCCTGCCCTTTCTTTGTTGAAAAGGAAATTGGTCAACGCAACCAGTGACCTTCTCCCCCTCTGACATTTGTTCTTCCATATTCCAGAGCAAGGAGATTGGCCTGCAGATGCATGAGGAGCTCCTGAAGGTCACCAATGAGCTCTACACAGTAAGTCCTACTCAGGCTCTGCTGCTGGGCTTGGGATTGGGTCCCCTTTCTTCAGTACCAGGAGCCAAAGGGAGTCTAACCAGAGACCTGGGATGACCCCGGGCATTTTTGCTGTGTCTAGTGCCCAAGTGACAGGGGGTTGTCATGGTGGGATGTAATGGTTTACAACCCCAGCTTCTGATTCTATATGCCTGGGGTGGGGCCGTGGGCATGTTTAGTTTGTATACGTTCACAAGAGATCTGCATGACCTGCCAGCTGTGGGAATGTTTTACCTACCAAAGCAGAAGACACAAGGTCAGGGTGGGGACAGCATGGACACAAAACTTCCCGAGGCAGGGATGTGGGTTTGGGGTCAGGTGCAGTGGGCTGAAGTTGAGGTTTGCTCCCTATTGGTGATGGAAACTTAGGCAGATATGTAGCTCATCTGGGTTTCAGCATTCTCATCTGCAAAATGGAGCACTGTTCTGAGGAATCACATGAGGTGAAGGAGGTGAGCATGCCTTGTCATCTCCAAGGAATGATTTCAGAACATTACAGCTTGGCCCAGAACTGACCTTGCTACCTACATGGAGGCAAGATCTCACTGGACTTGGGATAGGTATTAGAATCCAAGAGGGTCAGGGAATGGGGAATGCAGGCACACCAAATTATGATGCAGGAGTTTACTGATTGTGCCCTGAGGGCCCTTGGGCTTCTTTATGGAGGAATGTGGTGAACCTCAGGGACAACCTAGGGGAGTGGGGCCAGGTAGCCCCTGCAGGGGGAGCTCTAGACCCTTCACCCTCAAAGACAGTCAGGGTAGAATAAAGCTGTAGTATTTTAAGTATGTTAGGGTTCCTTTTAAAGTTTCTCATTAAAAGTGGGGATTCTGCTGCTAAAATTATATTTGAGGAAGGGAAAGAACAATAGGTTGCTAGAAGACCCCTCTCTTTGGTGTTATGATCTTTCTGTAGTCACGTCCTGTGTGGCCAGCAGGTAGTGGACTTCTCAGAGGCTGAGAGCTATTGCCCAAGAGCCTGGACCTTAGGTTGGAATTCCTGCCTCAGATTCTAACCAGTGATGGTACTTCTCTGGGCCTCAGTCTCCCACTCAGTAAAATGGGGGCGAGAGCTCCTAGAGGTTAACCTATTGAGAGCTGAAACTCACATTTCAGTTATTTCAAGTTAAGGAGCACAACCTGAGCCCCAGACAGTTTTTAGCTGGGTCATTGCTTAGGGGAAAGGAAGAATTGCTACTTCTCAAGCGACTGAGTCAGCTGCACTATGGGGGGAGAATTGTCTCCAGACCCTAAAGCCAGAGACCTGGGTTCAAATTCAGTTGTTAAACAGAAATCATAACACCTACGTCTTGCAGACCCCATGGGAGTTGAGGGATACCAGATATGTAAAGCATGCATAGAACAAAGAACAAGAAGGCACGGTGTATCAGAATTTCTTGTACTACCATCATCATGATTTTTGCCTCCCTGGCGAGTGTGAAACTGGCTGTTGTGCCTCCCCGGTGGGGGAAGGGTGGTGATAAATGTGCAAAGCTGGTCACCAGATGCGCCTTCCTTACTCAGAATTCTGCAGATGACTTGGCTAGACCAGCGTTCCCCAGTCTAGGTCCTTTTTATGGTCCTCAGGCACCTCCTTGAATGGATCACTTTCCTCTGTGGCATTTCAACACCTGGGTCCTGGTGCCAGGGACTCCCTCCCCAAGCCACTCCCACCCAGGTCTCTAACCTTTCCTCTGGGCTCCAGCTGGGCTCCTCTCCTCCAGGCCCCCTGCATACCCCTGAGTACCACTCTGCTCTGCTTCTTTACCCCAGCCCCTCCCCCTGCTTACAGTTGTCCTCTTTTCTTCTCTGCTTGTGTGTGTCATACTCATTTTTCAAACCCAGACCAAACTTCACTTTTGGAAAGCTATTACCTCCAGGCTTTGAATTCTTACAGCAGTTTAAAAAAACCTGTCATGTTATCCTCGTGTCCCCAGTTGGCATGTAATCTCCCGAGAGCCAGATCTTGGTCAGTAACACTGTACTTAATGCCCAGGGACTCAGTTTGAACCCAGCGTATGGCCTCTGGCAGGTCACTTCACCTCTCAGTCTCACCTGTGATCAACAGACCTGGCAGGTTGTAAACCGGATGAAGCAGGCGGGGATTGGGAAGCTGGTGCTGGGGCCCAGCACGGTGCCCTGAATCCAGCAGGCGTTCCACGCACACTGGCCTCTGCTGGCCACGGGGCAGGGCACCTGGACAGAACTGCTGCTGGTGGCAGAGGCTCAGACCAGGCTCATGGCAGCCTGCGGATGGCCTCAGAGCTGGTGCTGGAGGAAGGGCCACACCTCCCCAGCTCTGTCCTATAGCCAATCGTGGAGGACTAGGGCCTCAGAGGGCCAGCAGCACGCCCCCCCCCAATCATTTATTGACTGCACACAGAGTCTTCAGTGGTTGCCCAGAAGTCATTTAAATTCGAGCATTTGGGTCCGCCTGCCGCGGACCCAGTGCTGCAAGAGGCACAGCAGCGGGCTGGGCTGTGAACATTTCGAGAGTTGTCTTTGAAGTATCTTGTACATCCCCAGTGTTGCCAGGGCGCTTGCTGAAGCAGAGGAGAGGGATGTATGAATAAATGAAGGAAAATGGTTTTGCTCACGAGTTTCGAGTCTGGGTGGGGAGACAAGAGTAGAGTACGTGAACTGGTGATAGAGCAGTCCAAGCCGGAGCGGAGTGCGTGCTGGATACATGGACTCCGAGGAGGGCACCAAGCCCGTGAACCCTGTGAGGGCTGCCCCGTGTTCTCCGCTGTGTGCCCAGAGCAGTGCTGGCACATAGTAGGCCCACACCAATTCACCAAGTGCAGAAACGGGAGGGAGAGTGTTTGCATGCAAGAGAGATCGAGGCTTCAGAAAGTGCTGGCTCCAGGTGGGCTGCCGTGATCAAGGGTGAGTTTTGAACTTGGTGCCTTTGGAGGGGTAGGAATGAAAGAAGCAGAGGGGAAGAGAGGTGGGAAAAGGGAATTCTTAGCAGGGGCGGCAGGGCAGGATGCCAGCAGAACAAACCGATTATAGACCCATCTGGGTTTGAAGTCTCACTGCATCACCTACCAGCTTGGCCAAGCCAGTTGACATCCTTGGGCCTCGTTTTCTCTATTGCCAAAACAAGGGTAGTAACAACTGTGGCCATTTTGTGAGTGCTCTCACACTGTAATAGGTACTTCATATGTATTATTTACTTAACGTATTTTACCGATAAACTGAGGCACAAAGAAGGACCTTGCTTGAAGGCCTTTGTAGCAGTTTTCAGTGGCTGCACAACAAACTATGTCAAAACTCAGTGACTTAAAACAACAACCATTTTATTGGCTCATGATTTCGTAGGTCGGCAGTTCGGGCTGAGTTCAGGTAGGGCCACTGACATGACTCCAGGCTTCTGGCCAATTAGAAGAAGAGCCCCAAGTGGGAAATGCCCAGTGTGCCAGCACTTTTCAAGCCTCTGCTTGTGTCCTACTTGCACATGGGCTATTGGCCAAAAGTCACACAGCCAAGTCCATGGCAGAGGCACGGAGAATAAACATCACCTCTTGATGGGAGTTACATGCCAAAGCACAATGCAGAGGGGCATGCTTGCAGCCAGGGGGGGCAGCCACCCAGCTGCTAAGGACACTGTGGACCCCAAATCCCATGCTTCGTTATTAGGGATTTCTTTCGAGCACTTTCTAGTTACCAGGCCTGGTTACACAACTTCCCCTCCTCTCCCAGCCCTGGAGTCACGACCATTGGTGACTGGGGAACAAATGATGTTGAGAAAAGATTATCCAGTAAGCCTCACTTTTGTTCTTGTGATGTTTTCTAGAGGAGGGGACGTGGTCGGGGGTACTACTGAGCACAGGATGATGGAGATAAATGCTAAGGGCCATCTGTCACCCACTTTAGGGAAAAGACTTGTCCCATCTGAGACCAGGGTGCAGAGGAGACTGCAGGGCTGGCCATTTGTTCATTTGTTCATTCATTCACTCAAGAAGCCTTCTGTCTGACTTCATCACCTTGAGGTGCCCTGCTTTCTAAAACATGCCAGCATGTGTGCAAACACACGTGCATGTGTGAGCATGCGTGTACACCCCCCCCCCACACGCCCCACCTCACCTGTTTTTCCCTGAACTCCCGTCAGTCAGCCTGGCACAGTAGAGCCCTCGATCACATATGTCGGCCCGGGAGGGAAAAAGGGCAGAAGTTGAGAGTGTGGGCCTATGTGCTAATCCTTCCAGAAGAGGCAAAAACAAAACAGACAACGAAAAACCCCACTGTGTTTTCATCCTTTAGCTAAAAATATGTTCAGGTTTTCAGTATAGTCCTACATCATGAAATGTATCTGTCGTGTTTTGAAGCGACAAATGCTGCAGCATCCCCCGGGTGGCCCTTTCTTTGTGCTCAGTCGCTGTGCTCCAGGCTCTCCCAGGCAGGCCTGCCTGCCTTCCAGGCCCCTAGCTGCGGAAGGGGCCCCCGAGACTTGGCTTGGGGTGACGTGGAGGGGGCCCGAGGTGGGTCCACACCCAGCCACAGCTGGTGACAGGTAGAGACTGATTGGAGTAATGAATGGACTGTACTTTCCACTTGGCTCAGGCTTTGATTTGATTTTGTGCTGGGCTCAGGGGTATGAAAGCACCTCTGGGCCCCCAGGCAAATTTTTGTGAAGGCATCTCCTTTCTGATGTCCACCCTCAGGGATGCAGGTGGTGGAGAGAGCCTGAAACTAGGAGCCCAGCCTCCCGGGTTCTGTCTCCAGCTCTATCCTGGGCTCACCGCGAGTCTTCCTGGAATGACACCTCCATGTCTGTTGCCATTCATGGTTCCATCATGTCATTGGGCCTTCTTTCTTTAATATTTTTCTTTAAATTGACTCACTTAAAAAAAAATCTCCCTGTCCTAATGAATTAGTGGGAAAGTAGCCTTGTGCATTGGGAAGATCACAGGTTTTAGAGTCAGCCGGGCCTGGGTTCAAGGCCCTGTCCATTGTCACACC